CCTGCCTGCACATAACCCCAGTAACCGCTGGGATCAAACCCTGTAGAGGGGAGCAGCTTCAGTGGGAAGCAGAAAAACACTTCATCCAATGTTTCCTGCTCATGGAAATGGGCATTTCCAGCACGAGGAGGAAAGGACAGGAGCTCAGTGGCTCTGTATGCATGGGTGGACACCGGCCTGGGCTGCACGCCGAGGTGGGTTTCTGCTCTTCCTTTCCTCTCCGCAGGTCACACATCTGTGCTGGGTTCCTGGGGAGCCTTACGTCATCCAGACCTCGGAGGATAAAACTGTCAGGTAAATCTTACGCGTGGCCACAGAGAAGGGAGTTGCAGCCTGGGGCACGTGGGGGTTGTGGAAGGTGCCAGGGCACAAGGGGCTGTTTCTTTGGTTGGTTGTCATAACCACCTGGTCTCCTGTACCCTGCTGGGGCGGCTGGAGGCCACCTTCCAGCTCACGTTGGTCTTGGAGAGTGTTTTTTTGCCAGGGGAGGACAGTACGGGGACACCCCCGGCTGTAAGCAGCACTGGGAGGTGACTGTGGGTACAAAGGAGAACTTACAAAAAAAAAAAAAAGCTTAGCACAGCTGAGATGGATCCAGGACAGCTAAACACAAGGGTGCAGCGAGAGCTTTGGGAGCGCATGGTGAGGGACGGCAGTGAGGGCACGCTGCGAGGGGGCACGGGAGGGCACCGAGGGGAGCCCAGCCCGGCAGTGGTGTGTTGGAGCCCTCCTTCCCCTCTCCCGTTCCTTCCAGGGTCTGGGACAGCCGGGGGCTGCGGGTGGCACACACGTTCCCAGCCAAGCGGCACATCCAGACCTGCTGCGACGCGAGCCAGGACGGGCGGTACTGCCTCAGCAGCAGCAGCGGCTCCGCTGGGGAGGGTGGCGAGGCGACCGTGAGTCTGCTGGGCAGCAAATCCTGCTTTTTTTTTTCCTGGTATTTTCTCCAATGTCCACAGCACAGGGTGCAGGGCAGCAGATCAGCACTCCGAGGATCAGCTTGCTCCCACTGGGTTGGCCTTATGCTGGTGTCACCAGCTGGGCCACAGCTCAGCGTCTTCCTGCCCGTCCCTTCGGTGTGTGTGCTGCTCAAGGAGTATCTAAGCAGATATTCTTCCCGATTAAAGCAGTGGGATTTTGTGTCAGTGATGGTATCGAGGAGCACCAGGTTCTTGCAGAAAGCCTGTAAGGGACCTTCCCCCTTGCTCGAGGCGTTTCCAAACCCGGGATTCAGTCCTGCAGGTTCTCAGCGCTGTGTGTGAGCACCAAGAGGAGGAGACCGTCCTGTCGCAGGGAGCGCGGGGCTGAGGGCGGGAGCAGGCTGGAGTGGGGTTGTCTGCCCGCACGGTCTTACCCCAGCAGCTCTAACGGGGGTGGGTGTATGCCTGAATAGACACCAACGGTGAAAATCCTTCGGGGTTTGAAGTTCTCTAGAACTGTGAGCGTGAGCAGGGGACAACACCAGTAGATGTTGTACTTGGATTGGCGAGGAGCTCTTTATCCAAACCCACCTTCCCTTCTTTGTAAAAGACCTTCGTGTTGGCCGGTGACGGTAACGGAGCCTGAGCTCTAAAGACTGCCCATTGCCTTGCAGCTGTGGGACCTGCGGCAGACACGGAACCCAGTGTGCGAGTACAGAGGGCATTTCCAGACCACGACCTCATGTGTCTTCCTTCCCCAGGGTCCAGCGTGGGCCCTCGCCATTGCCACGGCCTCATGCGACAGCACCGTGAAGGTCTGGGACCGAGACACTGCAGGTAGGGGAGGGTCCTACCCGCTCAGTGTGCCTTACCCTGGGGTAACAAAACCGCTTCCTTTGTTTCTGTCTCCGGGTGGTGTTGGGTACAATGACGCCTAAAATCTCTGGGTTTTACTCTAAAGCAGCTGCAGGGCAGGGTGGAGATGTGCCCCAGAGCAACCCCAGGGGCTTCTGCTCACCCTCCAGCGAAGGGAGCGAGTGTGCATAGTGTGAGAAATGATGGGTGTCCTTCTAAACTAAAGGCAAGCAATGACAAGGTGGCTTTGGCTTTTAAAGATACACCCAAGTTCAGCAACAAAAGGACAAATGATAAAAATCAAGAACAGGGGAGCTGCAGCGCTTTCTGCAGATACGAGTGGAACGCTGTAGGGAGCAGAAGTTGCGGTGGTGGGTCAGGGGCTGGCCGGCAGCCGCCCTCACCCTGGCTGTCCCCTTGAAGGGGAATCGTGGGCGTTTGAGGGTTCCCCCCCGCTTGCTGGAGGACTTCGTGGGGGCCGAGTCCCCACCTGAGCTGGACACAAAGGCTGTTTCCCTGCCGTGGCAGCAGGCTCAGGAGCAACGCAGACACCTCTTGGGAAGCCGTTCAGGTTCACAGACGGGCACCAAATGCCGCAGAAGTCATTGGCATTAGACACTCCCCGGGGCTAAGCACCTCTCCAAAGGCACTTGTTTAACCCAGGATGAAAATAGAAACCTGATGATCTCCCACAGAAAAGCTCTCACCTTCTGTTTCGCTGACCTCGGCTTTCACCCCGGTGCCTGTGCACGCCGAGGCGGCGGCAGGGTGGGCGGCAGCTTTGTTTTCATCCTGTTGCCGTCACAACTGGGTGACCTCCACAGCCATCAGCCTTAATTCAGGTGCTCTCGAGAGGGTGTAAGTCACCAGGAGTTGCCTGTGCGTCCCCGGCAAAGGCGGCTCTATCAGCAGCTCAGTGCGGGATTGGTGTCTCTGCACAAATACTGCCTCAGGGTCTTTTTTAACCATAGACACAAACGGAAGGGCTGATGTGGCACTGGAAATTGTAAATCTTATTTCTGTTTCTCTTTTGGTGGTTTATCAAAGCTGCATGTTGAGTGTAGCACAGCCCTCAGGAAGAATTTTTCTGGACCGTAAGCAATTTGGGAGAAAAAGGCCTGTGGGGAACACCTCCACATGAGCCCTGCAGGGTCGTCTGTCCATCCATCCCTGCTTCCTCTGCAGGGAGTGGGCAGAGCCCGACCCCAGCCTGCATCCACATTAGCTGGGCAACACACAGATCCCCCGTGGGGCTTATGGGGTGGATGGTGTTTCTTGCAGAGGGCACATCCCGATGATGCCTTTGGACACGTGGATCTGGCACAGGGAGGGTGCAGCTCACCCTCCTCGGGTGAGCAGCTGGAGGCACACAGGCAGTGGCAGGAGGTGGGAGGCTGGGGTGGTCCTGTCTCATCTCAGCAAACCAAGCGTCGCGAGTGACTTCTCTCTTCCCTCCCCAGCCTGCCTGGCCACCTTGTGCCTCGAGGGATCGGGACCGCTGGCCTCGCTGGCCGTCTGCGACAGCTCTACGCTGCTCTGTGCCAGTTTTAACTCAGGAATTCACATCCTCCAGCTGAGCAACCATGCGGACCCTGTGCTGGAGGAGGTGGCAGTGTTTTGACTGTAGTAACCTTTCCAGCAGAGACTGCCCTGCGAGGGCTTCCCCGACTGCAAGCACCAGGAAGGGTGCCAGGGCACAGGGCAGGCAGCACTCGGCTTCCTTCCCCTTGCTCCAGTGTGACAGAAACCCTGTGCTGAGATTTACACCCCAGGAGCAACACGACTGTAAATGCAGAATATTCATTAGTGTTCCAGGTTTTATCCTAAGCCAGCCAGAAACATGGGAGCCTGCTGGGCGAGGATGGTCCCGTGAATGGCAACCTGACAAGCAACACCCCAGGGGAACTTGTCCTGGCTGTGCGGCTGGGAGGCCCCTGCGCAGCTGCCAGACTCGGACAGGCCCTTTAGCTGACACTTTAGGAGACACTTGAGCACACGGAGCTGTGTATCTGGGCTTATACAGGAGAAGACTGCAATTAAATATTTTTCTGTGTTAGTTGCTGGCCTCTCGTCCCATAGCATTTTCCCTGGGAGTAAGAGCTGGCATACAGCACGTGGCAGATGCCACCATACTGCTGGAAGGGAGGAGAAAGCCCCCAACACTCTGCTAGAAGAAGAGTAACTTGTGAGTGGGTTTGGGTTGTTTTTTTTTTTAAAATACAAACTCCAACTCCACTGCAAATGTTGAGAACAGAACCGTGTTTACGTTCCCAAGGAACATGGACAGCTGCTCTGCAGCTGACAACGGGGAGATGGATCAGTCTTCTCTTTTCTCCTGAAGGTTTTTTGACAGCAGACAGAAATCGAACTGTGTGGCGTGAAGTACCTGTCACTTCTCCATTCCTGAGTCAGACCCAGCAGCCAGGATGCACGTTCAAAACATGTTTTGATTTTCCAGAACACAAGATTTTCAAACCATCAATTTAAAGAATAAACAACAAATAAGAAAGCTCCCCAGGGTGTAAGTTAGAACAAGAACAATCCTACTCCAAAATAGCCACTTTCTTATCATCTCAGGTGATGGCAAAAACTCAGCCAGGAGATGCCCACATGGATTTGAAACACCCAGTTCATGAGACAGCTCAAGGAGCTTGGACAGGATCTGGTCTGAGGTGGTACAGGGAAAAGACAAATTTCCCTGGCCTTTAACATCTACTATGAGTGGGTACAAAGGGGGTACAGACCTCCATTCAGAGATGACCTTTGCGGAAGGCGGGGACGCAGGGTACCGTCTCCCTCTCACTCTGACAGCTAGCTTTGCTTTCTTGAAATGCGAGTCAAGTTTGAAGCCACAGACTCCTACCAAAGGCTCATGGAAAAGGGAAGGTGTTAACAGAGGCTGACCACCACACCATACCAGATGCGGTGTGTGGCTGCCTACAAATGTTCAAAACAGACAAGAGAAAACCTGTGAATGCAACTTGGAAGAGAGGGTGGAAGCAGATGGATCACCTTCAAATTACAGCAGAAAGCAGTATCTGCAGTATAGAAACAAAGTCCCCAAAAGTGGAAAAACATCACCTGAGATGTGACTCTGACCAAACGCTGGCAAATACAGGTGCTCCAAAACCACCTCAACCCAAGACCAGCCAGTGACTACAGCTGCCGGAACACACGGTGCAAAAGGTGATTCCTTTTTTCTCTTTAATATAAAAAAAAGCAAGTCTTAGTTCAAAGCTATTAACATCTCCATTCCAGTTCATCAGCAGCACCTCTGAGCTACTCCGCTGTCCACAACTTGAAGGTTCGGTCGTAGGAGCAGGTCGCTATCAGTTGGCCGTCGAGGGAGATATCCAGTCCCATCACCTTTCCCTCGTGACCAGCCAGTGTTTTCAACGGGGACCAGCCGGGGTGAGTCCAGATCTTTGCAGTGTTGTCATAAGCGCCGGTGAGCAGGAAGTTACCGTGATTGGCTGCAGCAGAGAATGAGAAAAAGGGAAAGTGAGATTTGCAAATAAAAACATGACAAATCATCTCTGCTAACCAGTACGGGCCTTCTTGACCTAAAAATGTGGTTTTGGGTTGTCTCATCCCTTGCCACCTCAGCTCAGGAGAGGCAGGGATAAGGAACATCAGACGGGAGGCACTTACGTTCAAATTTCACCCCAGTCACCAGGTTCTGATGGGCTGGAATGGTGTAGATGCACTTCCTCTGGCGGAGGTCCCACACCTTGCAAGTATTGTCACCACTGCCAGTTGCGACATGGTATCTGCCAAAGGGTGGAAGAAGAACGTGTTGTTGGAAGCTGGGGTTTGTACTCAGAGCTCCCACCTAAACCATGCAAGCCCCTTTCTTACCCATTTGGGGAGAAGTTAACCCCATAGATCTCCTTCAAGTGGCCTTCTAGAAACATGATACAGCGTCCCGTGCGCAAGTCCCACACCCGGCCAAAAGCATCCAGACCACTGGGAAGAGAGAACCCGAGCAACACCCATCAGAGACTTCAGCAACTGCCAGAGCACGCTCAGCCTCACCAGCAGAAATGGCTGGGGCGCTTGGCATCAGTCAGCAACAAAACCTTGATAATATTTCACATCCAGCCCTGACGCAAACCAAACTCACCCAGTGCCAGCGAGAGACCCGTCCGTGTGAAAGGCAATGTCATAGACCCCTTTGCTGTGCCCCTCCTGATGGAGAATCTCTTCCTGAGCTTCCAAGTCCCACAAGCGCCACGAGTGATCATAGCTGTAAAAACAAAGCATTTGTCCAACTAAGTGTATCTCCAGGGCGAGTAACAGGATATTTCACTAACTCTGTGGGCATTTTATTTCCAGACGGAGACAAACAGCGTCTCACATGAGGGGCAGAGAAAGGAATCCCAATGACTTGCTGTTATTTACTTTGCAACAGCCCAGCTGCTGTCAAGCATGGGCAACGCTTGCCCATGCTGGGTGCCTCTGCGGACAAGCAGTGGTACCCACTGGGCTACCAGCTAGACAGCTGCTAATGGTAATGTCTTAATGCAAATAACCACACATCTCCATACCAGGTAGTACCAAGGAACCTCCCAGACGGGTGCCACATCACACGTGCCACTCTCATGCTGTGTCCTTCAATATCTGCCACTGGTTCATCACTGAAAAACAGAAACACAAATCATCGGACACTGGTCCGAGGTGGCTGGCTCTAGCCAGGCCTTTGCAAACGTGACCACAGCAGGACAGCTGCTAATTACACGCAAGCCAGGCAGGAAAATCAGCGTTTTAACTAATGACTCCAAATTCTGCCTTTTGTTCACACAGCTAGAGCTCTAAGTGAAACCCCTTTATCCACATCCATGTGGATGGTTGGTTCTGCAGGGATAATTATTTCCTGCAAATTAACAAGGCCCTTGTTAATAGCACTCTAAAAGTAGTAATAGCAGAAACAAAACACGGACCCCGTGGGCAGCAGGGAGTTCTACTGTGACTACACAGAGCACATCCCGAACTACAACAAATCCCGCTATTCTGAGGAATTGCAGGGCAGGCAGGGTAGAGTGAGTATTTATTCTCTCAGAATTGCAGGCAGCAGGGCAGGAGCCTTCAGCAAGAGGCCTGAAGAGCATTTAGAGTTACTTTCCAACAGACCAACTAAAGAGATGCAGTCACACGAGACTAATAAACTACCTGTCCCTTTGCACAGGTATGTTCCTGTGATTAGGAACGGCGGCTGTCAGCTAAGGATAAACAACTGAGGATCTCGGAGCTGCCTGCCTCCTCCTCAGGCGCACTGCAGGGCTCCGCTTTTCAAACACAGCGGGTGCTAGGGCTCAGTATCCACACCGTCCTCTTCTTCATAGGCTTGAGACAGGTGCTGTGCATCTTGCAAAAATACACTGTGCAATGATAGAGCCACTTGTTTTTATTACTGGATGAAGCTATTGTGCGTGGTCATGTATTTGCCTGAATATTGGTGCTTCTCAGTAACTCAAAAGTTGATTTCTTAATATCCAAGGGGGGAAATTTTCTCCTAAATAAAAGGTTAGGACGAAACAATCTCCAAATCTTCCATCCATCACCCAAAACAGTTTACCAATGCCCAGCAGCAATTCTGACTTGATTATCGTTTTCAGACAATTTCCCCTCACCTTGATTCCCCTAATCAGGGTGATCTCTTTTCC